CAGTCCTCAAAGCTTGGGTCATTCTTGACTCTTCTTTTTCTAACACATCATACCCAGTCCTTTAGCCAATCCTGTCAATTCAATTTTCAAATATGTATCCTGAGTCTAATCCCTTTTAACAACTGTCACAGCTCCCACACTATTTCAAGCCACCATTATATCCCATGAAGATTTTCCAGTAACCTTTTACACAGTTTCCCTATAACCATGCTCGCTCTATTACAGACTAATTTCCATATTGTAGTGGAAGATGCTGTAACATAATAGCTACAATGTGTAGCACAAAGATGTTTTAAAGTCTAAGTCAGAGCACACTCTCTTGTCTCAAATGCTTCAGATAGCTTTCCATCTATAGTCCTAAGTTCTCGGCGCCCTATATGACCTGGCTATACAGTACTCCCCTCAACCCCTTCTTATAATACTCAGACAATTGCCTACTCTGCTCCAGCCACACTCCCTTTCTTTCTCTTTCTTAACTTCACCATGCAAGGTTCATCTCAAAGCTTTTGCATGTATAGCTCTCTTTGTCAGGGACACTCTCTTCTGAGGTTGCCATGTGGCCCTTTACTCATTTCATTTAATCTCTCTGCTTCAAGTTCATCTTTTCTTAAAAAGCTTTTCTCTGACCACCTGTGCTCTTGATCCATTATCCTGTTTTATGTTTATACTAGAGGCCCGTGCACGAAGAGATTCATGCAATAGGCCTTCCCTTCCCCTGGCTGCTGGCACCGGATTTCCTCAGCACCCAGGACCCAGGCCTTCGCTCCAGACAGAGCCTTCAGTCTCCGCAGCTCTGGATGGAGCCTTCAGTCTTCGCTCTGCCACTTTGCCCCTACGTATGCAAATTAACCACCGTCTTTGTTGGGTTAATTTGCATACTCTCCTGATTGGCTGGTGAGTGTAGCAGAGGGACAGTTAATTTACATGTTTGTCTATTATTAGGTAAGATTTTATATCACTTTTCAATAATATAACATCGTTTATATTAGATGTGCTTATTGTCTGATGGCTGCCCTGTGCAGGCCTAGAATGTAAAATCTATATTAACAACAACTTGATGAGTTCTATTGGATGCTTTTTATTATAGAACCCAAAATATCTGGAACATAGTAGGTGTTCAATAAATATTTGAATAAATTAATAAATAAATGAATATGAAACTCAGTTTTAGATGATGAATAAAAGTCTCATATCTGGAAACTCTGAGTTCATGTGAGAAAGCAAGTAATCTGCATGGATCCAGAGGCATCAAACTGACTAAAGTAAGGCTCCTAGAATATAAAACAAACTCAGGATGGGCAGCAAAAACAATAGTGAACCAAGGCTACTAATATCCTGGCAACTAGCCACAGAAGACCAACAAAATCAAGCAGGAACCAGCCTGGTATTTGTGTGCAATATTAGCTCATATTTATCCTTGCATAAAGAGAAGGCACATCCACATGAAGCAAATGCAATTAAAACAAATGCTGACAACTGGTTATAAATTAAATTAGTGGCATTCTCATTAGTTTATGCTTGTATAGGGAAAGGACATTAGGCAGTAGTTAAATGGGGCAATTTAAGGTGGTTCTAAAAAAATATTGTAAGTCTGGATTTCTCTTTCTGATATCTTTTCTAGAGAAAATACATATGCCTAAATTAATCTTTTCTAAACCTACATCTGTAATATACAATTACACAAACATAAATTTACTTATGGGGACACCAGGACAAAGTATAAAAATTGATACAGGCTTTAAAACACGCAGGATATAGAGGTACAGTATATATGACTCTGAAATGACCTTGGGTATATTAACTGGATGAATGGTCACAAAAAAGAACAAGCAGATGCAGTACAGAAGGAAGTGAGGTCATCAAAAATAAGATGACTGAAGAGCAGAACACCATTAGTGACATATTTATTCGGCTACAGGAATCAGTTCTAATGAGGATGAATGATTGGAATCGTAGAACATAATAGAGCGCATGATCACGGCCTCAGAGAAATCCTTGTAGGAAAATGGGAATAGAAATAGAGGTTTACCAAAGGAATTGGACTTCTTTCCTTTACACACAACTGATTTTGGATTATGCAGTTTTGAGCCCTTGTTCACTGTAATCCTTTAAAAGACTAGTTTAACCAATGCTGTATGTACCGCTGGAAGATATATATCTGCCAAACTCAACTTATTGATGCTCAAATTACATTCAGCCTCACCACCTTCATTGAGGTGTGCTTTTTGTGTCTAAGGCTTTGTGTCTCAGGCTTTGCATGTGTGTCTGCCCAAAAACACGCACACTAGCAGTCAACAAAGGAGAATGGAGATTATATATTTGAGGATAATATATACCTTCATTGTTTTTATAAAGGAATGATAAAATTCTAACCTCAGTTAAAGAATGAAATGAATAATATTGTAGGATCTTCAAAATTTCAAAATCTTTCTTTTAATATATGAAGAACTCAGACAAAGTGGCAAAAGACTATACTAACTTGAGCAACAAAACGTATGAAAATAGTGGAAAAGCTGAGGTGAAAACCCAGATTTCCTAGTGCTGGGTATTATTCCTTTCATTTCACTAGTTCTCAGTCTTAGGATCTTTACTTTACAAACAAATAAAACACAACAAAACAACCTCCTCCTTTACAGAGCAAATATTTTAAATAAGTATATATTTGTATGTCTATTGTTATGTTTCAGAACATAGCACAAATGTTTCTTCTGGTATATTTTAAGGTTTTGAATTGCAGAAATACTGAAAGGCTTCCTAAATTCTTCACATACACTGCCCTGGGTTAAAGTCACTCAGAGAAAAGAGTATGAAAGAAAAGTCATACTGTCCAGGGTTAGAGTCACTGAGAGAAAAGAGAATGAGAAGTGTGTGTTGCAATGTCAGGCCTTTTCCCTCATCATGGCTTTCAGTGTTTTTATTATTTCTTTAAGGGATGGAAACACCACTCTGATTTTGTAGAGCCTATGTTGCAATTCAGCATCACAAGAGACAAGCTTTCTTCCTATTTGTATGAAATTTAAATTTTGATGTATTATAGACTCTTCTGATAAACTTTTCCATTGCCTACTTTATCACTATCAGTTTTAGAAAAAAAGCCATAGTAGGCTCTAAGGCATCTAATTTTTCAATCTTGAATGAGTAATGTTTTTTTAATTTATTCTTATTTTTTTAATTAATTTATTTGGGTGACATTTAATAGGATCATATAGGTTTCAAGTATACATTTCTATGATGCATAATCTGTATATTTCATGGTGTGCCCATCACCTAAAGTCAAAACATCTTCCGTCACCATGCATTTGGCCCCGTTTACTACCCTCAAATCCCCTTCTATCTGGTAACCACCATCCTATTGTCTGTGTCTATAAGTTTCAGTTTCATATCCCAAAGATGAGTGACATCATATGGAATGAGTCACGTTTCATTTGTGATTCATGCTGTGTGATTCTTATGAATCTGATATTATTATTTCAAGTAAAGAGCCTGAGCTCAAAAAAACATAACAACTATTAAATGGTTCAAATCTAGACTCATCCTGTCACTGGCAAAATGTCTTTTCATATAGTTCTTTGGGAAAAAGAAATACCCTTTTTATTAACAAGATGAACATGCATTTGAAGATGAGATGCAAAATACAGGAAGACTTTCAATTTCCTGAAGCCTAGGGCTGTTTCCTATTCACCATTGAATCCTCTACACTTAACACACCAGCTTAACCACTAAAATGTATTGATACTTATTGAGCATTTACTATGTGCTACTGGCTTTAGGTAGGGCCTATTAAGCTCAACAAACAAATTTTTAAAGATGTTAGAAGAATTATTCTTATTTTATAAAAGAAGAAACTGAGGCTCAGTTAGATGAACTAACTTCATAGGACCACAACGAAGTTGGGTTTCCAGATGAAGAAGTTTGGTCTCAGTACCTACAATATGAATACACTCCCCAGTGTTGTTATTGAAGACACTTGTTAGGTGAAAACAAAAAGGGGCCAGGTCACCTAGAGGACTCTGTGACCACACTCCTGTGTCTTTTTCATCTAACAATAGAACTGTAATTTAGAGCTGATTTTAACCTGGGGAGTGAAAGGCAATTACTTTAGAGTTGATGCTCTCTTGCTCATGTCAGTTCACCACCTAGAGGCCATTTTTACAGCTCATCCTCCAAATCACTACATGTAGGGAATTATATCACATCTGACAGGACTCTTTTGCAGCACCACAGTTATCCCCATTATCATCTCTTTTCTGAAAAGCTCCATCAGTTTTGTTGCTGAACCATCACTCACTTTCCTTCTAAGACTTGATCTTATCTTTTGCAAACACACACACACACACACACACACACACACACACACACACACACCATTTTCTAGACCATTTATGTATGCCTGGCAGAAAACTTGCAAGAAAAAATAATCTTAACTGAGGATGCTTATTAATTTTTTTCATCAGAGATGAACATATTTTTAATTGGCAACGGGAAGGTTTTCTTTATATAGATGTGGGGAAATGGATTATATTGTCAGCAAAAAAATTGAAATGACTTAATATTTAATAAAGAAGTTCTTTGAGATTAGAACATAACAATTCTCAAAATTTTCATCCTATGACAATTTTGTCATCAACAACTTGAGGATGCCCATAAATATAAACTATAAAATTTTGTTTGAAAATGTTGAAGGTTTGGGATCTCCTTAAATCTGTACTCCACAATCTGTGACCTATAATTTTCAAAGACGTTGAGTAGAGAATTACAGTATTGTGCAATTTAAGATATTTGACAGCATTCAGTTCTTCAACCTAAATGGAAAAATGGTCAGCCCATAATTTCCTGACAGGCACAATAAGGAGAAACAGACCAACCCCACGTAAAATCGTATCGAATCACGCAGACACACCGATACAAAATTAAATCAGACTTCCACCTGAGAATTCAAGAAATGTACTACCTGGCCCCAAACAGGTAAGAATCCGATTACCACAAGGATGGATAGTTACCCATGGCGAAGAAGGGGATTCCCAGCAGGGTGGAGTTGTACTTCCCATCAGTGATGAAGAAGATCCCTGCTGCTGTGACGATGGAGATGCACACTGTGAGCACCCCCAGGAGGCCTAGGAAGGGCTTGCTGCGCAAACAGTCCTTCATGGAGCTGGAGAGGGTGGCTGTGGTCAAGATCAGCACAAGGCTCACCAGGACCTTGCTCCTGGCCAGGATGCTGGTCTTATGAAAGTCTCTCCAGAGGCTAAAGGATGCTAAAGAGTAGAGCTGGAGTTCCTGGTGCTCTTCCTGGAGCTTCCTCATAAGCTTACAGAACTCATTCTCCCACTTCTCCCCTATGAGGTCCTGGGTGGCAGAGCCATAGGTCTGGAGGTAGTAGGTGATTTGAATGGCTCTGGCTGACTTGACCCGTTGGTCCTTGCTGTTTGGCACTTCTACTACCCCGCCCAGTTGGTGTCCAATAAAACTGTTCCTCCCATCCTTGAAAACAGAAACAAAGGGAGACGTAAGTTACAAGAGAGATGCATATTCCAGAGGACAGCTTCTTATTCTAAGTGAAGGAGAACAAGGAAGGCAGAGATGGGCTTTAGCAATTGTGGAACTGATGTGGGTGGAGTGACATGTTAGATTTTATGTTTCGCCTTTGGGAACCACATGGGATACCATGCAAGATGATCAGGGTTAGAAAAGATGCAAAGAGAATTATGAAGCTCTACAAGTCTTGCCACATGCATAGGAAATGGGCATGAATATTATTTCGATCTCATCCATGCCCTCATTGCCACCATTTCCTTCTGTAACAACCTATTGTAATTCCTTAAAGCAGATCAAGTTTTATGATTCAGTTTCAGGCAAAAATGAAGCATGGTATGAGTTAACATTTCAAAAGTTAAACTAATTATTCACTTAATAGATAGATGCTAAACTTTCTAGGGTTAACACACACACCTACACCACACACACTTAGACACACAAACTTTACACACACATCCATACTCATCCTTTATATTCTGGGAATACAACTGCATATCACAGAACAAGTAGAAGAAAATATTGTTTTGTTTTTATAATCAATTTATAGTGTTGAAATGTTTTTTGAAATCTGATATGAGCACCTATTCACTCATCATAATTTTCCCTCTGAATACATGCCTCAGTCTTACCGTAGGTTGACCTCTTTCCCATAGAATACAGTGGACAAACCCCCTAAATGAGACTGCTAACATTTCAAGTGGGTTTGTTAAAAGTCATCACAACTTCAGAATTTCACATAAGGTAGAGTAGACAAGATCATAAGAGTAGGATATTTATTCCTCTTGTTTAAGGTACTCCTGAGTCAGACACTGATTCTCATCCAATGTACCTTACCACTTAGAACAAAATCCATGACAGCCATTATTACATTTTAATCAGTTTTTGTTTTCTATGTTTTGTTTTGTTTTTGCCACACTGTCATTTACTCTAATGCCAATGGCTGTCAGATGGAATACTGAAACCAATAGCTGGTTGCAAGATGGAATATAACATCTAAAATGGGTAACATCTAAAATGCAGGTATTGAGTGGGACACAGATATGAAGGTCAATTTATGCCATAAATAAACTGTTTCTGTTAGATCAGGCAAGCCATTTATCTCAAGAGGATATAAAAGAGTAGATTCAGAGCAGAAAGCAAATCTTTCTAGAAGGGTAGTACAGAAGGGTAACAAACCAACAACGTCATAACCATGGTTATTTTCACCAAACTGTTATTGTGGACTTGTGTAGTACAGACACCTGTATCTGAGGTTCTTGCTTGTATTTGTATTTTTTAATATATATTTTATTGATTTTTTACAGAGAGGAAGGGAAAGGGATAGAGAGTTAGAAACATCGATGAGAGAGGAACATCGATCAGCTGCCTCCTGCACACCCCCCACTGGGGCTGTGCCCACAACCAAGGTACATGCCCTTGACCGGAATCGAACCCGGGACCCTTCAGCCCACAGGCCGACGCTCTATCCACTGAGCCAAACCAGTCAGGGCTGTATTTGTATTTTTAACATGCACCAAAAGCAACACAAAAGTTTGAGAAATTTACAGAGAGTACAAATGTTGTTAGTAGAGAAAGAAATTTTATAGTCACTTCACACACCCATATTTTCTCCACATGTTCAATAGAAATAATCTTTCTGTTTAACTCAATCTGGCCAGCTGTAAGTGAACAATATATTTCTAAGTAAGAATTTGATTGAGGGTTTTTTTTTCCTTTGCTTGGTTTATCTCCCACTTCCAGTCATCTTTTTAACTTATAAATATCAAACTAAAATTCCAGCTGTAGGTTCACAAAGCTCTATCTCCACGAAACCCCCTATGTTCTCCAATGAGCTGTAAGTAAAAAGTGGAAAAGCTTTGAGAAAGGCGTGAGAATCCTGACTCACACTGAGAGATTGTGAAATATAGTTTCCTGTCTTTCAGTCCAGGAAACATAGACCCTTAATTAGGCTTGTTTACTTTTGTTTTAAGCTTGGTATAATTTTAAGTTCCAGTCTTGGTTTCTACTTCTTTGAAATCCCATCTGTGATGTTGAGTTGTGCTTTTGATTATTTGAAAGATTATTTTAAAAGCTGTACATATTCACTTGAGAATGTACAGTTCCACGTATCTTTACTCATTTTCATAATCAAAAAATATTTCTGAGGGATCTTTAGTGGCAGAACAAAGATTTATGCATCCCTTAGGCCTCATTTGGAGATTATAGTGGATCAAAGAAGGTGCTGGTAATGTATCCGGACAAAAGTAAAAATTTTAAAAAGGCAAATATAGATTATTAAATAACTGATCTTCATTGGCTTTTGCTAACAGCTTACCTCCCTTTTGAGGTGGTCTCATTTTCATTTTTTTATTACTTCATAAAAAATATGGTTTCATTCCATTATATTCAAATCAAAGCAACAAATAGAATGAGTTTCTCTCTCTTAATTTGCTTTACTCCATGAACAAGAACAAAATAAGCAAGGTCTTTGGATGTCCTTGAATTGAAAGCTCTATTGAATAGTTCACATTGGAGACAAGCCATTGGTGCAATTATTGTACTCAGTACAGTCTTGAGAAATATACTTTTATACATTATTTGTAAAGGGAATTCTATTATTTTGTAAGGGGTGGCAGAAGAGTTATTCAGTTTCCTAAACTAACCAGTTCATAGGTGCCTCTATGTAGGAGGAAAAAGGAAAGAATATCACATATGTTGTAATTATCCTCTGGAGATGTAAGAAGCTAGGTAGGCTTAATAGAGAGAATACATAATCAGGAGTCATGTGACCTGAATCACTGTGTGCATCTCATTCTAATTGGATAAAAAACCCTGGTCTGGTTCATTTCCCCTCCTAGAGTTCCATTTTCTTTTTTATAAAGTGAGTAGATATGAGTATATGAGTAAATGTTTATGACACTGAAGACATTTTCAGCTCTATCCATATATATAAAAGGCTAATATGCAAAGTGTCCCCTCAGGAGTTCGACCATGAGACCGGGAGTTCGATCACTCACTATGATGTGGGCTGACCACCAGGGGGTGGCGTGGAACATGGCAGTGGGACCCTGAGGGAGCGGGGGAAGGAGGAGGCAGGGAGGCAGGCAGGCGGGGGGAACCGTGTGGTGGCGGTGCGTGGGTGGCAAGAGAAGGAGGAGGCAGGGAGGTGGGGAGATGGGGTACCTCGCGGTGGCAGCGCACAGATAGCGGCGAGGGAAAGAGGAGGCAGGGAGTTGGGGAACCTTATTGGCTCTGATCGCCTGTCAGGCCTAGGGACCCTACCCGTACATGAATTTCGTGCACTGGGCCTCTAGTTATTCTATGAAAATACTGTCCAGAAAGCTACTTTGGAGAGATCTAAATGTCAGAATGTTATCATTACATCTAATAGAGCCATAAATTGATTATTTTTACATTCTACTCCACTCATTGGGTAGAACTGGTTTGTTTTATTAAATAAGCAACTAGAGGCTCTAAGAAGACAAATCTGCCAGTCACAGGGATGAACACAAGGTTCCAACTCAACTGAGACAATCTCAATTTCAGCACTTTCCAGAGTTCTATGGGGTGATTTCAGGGAAGTCAGGCTGGCCCCCATTCTCCACTAAATGTTCTTTATTATTAAAACTATCTTACATGAAGTTCCCCTTTTCCCAATATTTTCCTCTCCATTAAACCAACAGCCAACCATTTAACACATGGTGATTCATTTCCTCCTTTCCCAGTGAAACCTCCTACACAAATTCTGAAATTCCTTTGAGTGCAAAATCACTTTTATGTCTCAATGAAGATAAATCTTAAAATAAAAATATGACAAGATGGTAACATATTACTTTCATATGCTCTCCTTTTTCAGTGTTTCACTGAATTGAACTGTCATTATTAGGATGAGATAAATTGAAGTCCCCAACTCATATCCTGTGACCACTTCCACCCCTCCTCAATATGTTTTCCATATTAAAGGTGGAACATATTTCCCCAATTCTAAATAAAATCACATAATTTCTTCACTTAAAACTTTCTACTAGCTTCCACTTGTACCAGGAATAAAATAAGAACCCCTTACCAGGCCTGCAAGGCCCTGCATGGCTCATTGCTGGTTGAGCCCACAGACCTCTTCTCCTAGTCTTCCACTCATGAATTCTGCACCAGCTTTTCTGCCTTTTCACCTACTCCCTGAAGTTAATTTTCACTTCATGGCCTCTGCACCAACTATACCCTCTGCCTAGAATGCTTTTCTCTGTTCTTATATCCAAGGCTACTTCCTAATGGAGATCTCAGCTTCTAATAGACTACTTGAATCACATAATATAAACTAGACATCTCTTTCCCAGCAATCACTCCATCACATGGTCCTATTTTATTTCCTTCCTACTAACCATGTCTACCTGTAGTGACTCTCCATTGATCATTTAATCATTCCTGTTCTGTCTCTTCCAGGAGAATGTGTGTTCATTGAAAGCTGGTATGTTTCCTATCTTGCTTACTGATAATCTCCCTGGCCTAGAACAAAGCCTGATGTATAATAAACACTTCATAATATTTAACTCAGTGAGTTCACTCAGAGGTGTGATAACATTACTTTTTAGAGACTACTTTGCTAAGAAGGGGAGAAGTAAGAGACAACTCAAAGTATTTGAGGACAGTAGGACCTCAGATGAAGAGAGGTGTGTATAGAAATTAGAGATGATACAGAAGATAACAAACTTTATCCTTTTTTTTCAATCTGCTTAGTTTAGTAAAATATTTCCCTTAAATATTTTTCCTCTTCTACTTCCTCTGCACACTAATAATGTGCAGTAAGCTTGTCAACGGACAAGGGGACTTAGTGAGTAGCCATAAAAAGGATTTGTATGCACTATGGTTGGGACAAAGAACAGCACAAGATGTTCAAAGAACTGAAGGAAATTGTGAGATCTGAGACTAGAGAGGAAAGCAGGGTCTCTTCTGTAAGGGCCATGAGAGGC